TAGGGCAGGGCATGGGAGGTTTCAGGGACACAAACGCGTCACATTGGGATCATGACTCGGAGGCCGGAGAGTTTGGTGGTGGCCTTGTGCCGTCACGGCGGCAATGGGTGCCCTGCCTGCATGCTTATCTTTCAGCATTGACCTTCGCTCACCATGATTGCTCCTGGATGTTCAACATGCTAGGACGTCCTGAGCACCGCAAAGTAGTCGAGGTTCCTTTGCCAGACGCTAATTCCAGCGCCATATCACCGCAACGCGGCCAAATAGAATACATGACGCAATTCTGCGGTGCGTATATGGACAGCGGACACATTAGTTGGTAGTGTTAAGCTAGTTGTAGTTTAATTAGGACAGCTATTTGATTAAGGTGTTTGTGGTATACATTTATTTATGCTGGCCAGATTGTATACAGATATGTATGGGCCAAGGATTGAGTCATGTAGTTTTAGTAAGTTGAATCCTACTTCTTCTATCCCAAAAAACTCAACCTATTTGAGGATGTGACATAATTTAGTAAAATAAGTCTGAACAGATGGTTATCTATATTTGTCGTACTAGATTAGATTATGTCCCATCCTAAATTAGATTAGGTTTTTTTGGACGGAGGGAGTACTTGTTATACTTAGTTTGAGTTTGCTTAGCAAACCTATACATTTATGTATATGTAATTGTGGTACATGAGTTGCGAAAAAGAAAACGGTGATAGTTGTGTCTCGCCAGAAAAGTTATGTATTGTTTTTCGTTCTAGTTTTCACTTGTGTTATTCGATTCTGGTGAAATCCCAACAATTCTTTTGTCACTCACAATTAATCGATTTTTCAGCTATTCGATCTCTGTTAAGACCCAAGGTTGCCTCGAATCCAAGCGTTCCCCTGCTTGCCACCAGTGCGGCATGTGCGGTTTGCATATGCCTGCGGCTTCCTCACTCACTCACGAGCAACAACGCCCCTGCAGCCTGCTGGTTGGCCCTGGCCTGTCGATCGGTCAGGTGTTTGAAGTACAAATTGTCCCGTTGAACTGAGGGAAATTTGGGTGAAACATCTACAGGTCGTCAGGTGATGAATTAATTAATGGCTGCAACATCTCAGCGTAGAAGGTTGGTTTGTCGTGGAGATACGGGTTAAACATCGTGCTAAACAGTTCTAACAATGGCTCTATGAGTCAGTTGTTTGCTTTGTTTCTAATTAAGGCTCCAAGTATTTTTCAGTTATACTCACAATACATATGTATGTATATATGTGTAAAAGATCAATAAAAAAAAGTAAATTACGATAGAAGTCTCAAAATCATCTTAAACAATTAAGTTCTAAAATTTATTTTTTTACAACGACTTATTAGCTGGAGGACAAACGATGGCAGTTTATAGATAAGTAAATTAACACTCTCACATGTGTGGGACTCAGTAAAATATAGTACCGATGTATGTCTTTACCGGCAGAAGACATAGAGATACTATTCAACTATTCACATATTCACATGTGAGATGATAGCAACCTTTCAAGCTAAACTACCCCATCTAAGGCTGGTCGAAATGGCGTGCCATCTATATAATAGTACATCGTTCATATTTGCATGATGTGTGACAGATAGATGGCTAAGTCAACTATAAAGGTGGAGTGCACATATGTACATATAGCGTGCAGCTCTAGCGGCCCGTCTCTCTTAATTTCTTGAGGCAAATTAAATCGACCAAGTAATGAACCTCCACGAGATTCCTAGGCACGAGAGGCATCTAGAATTACTCAGCCACCTTGTAGACTATAAGGTCAGCCACCTCTCCGTTGGTCGATCGCTAGCTGTTTGCTCCGCTCTACTAGTGTGGGATGTGCGATCGACATTGCAACACCCTCCATACTTGATCATTCCCTGTTGCTACGAAGAGCACACCATCATGGATGCCGTCGAGAGGCCCAGGCTTGGTATCTTTTGCGGTGCCAATCTGATGTGTCCTGGTTGAAAAGATTGAATCTAAACGATTAGATCATTTCAATATAATAATACACGTAGACCATCGCCAGGTGATGCAGGGACTAGGAAAAAGATGCAGTAGGGCCAAATGAATTTGTCAAACCACTCCATCTCAAAATATTATTCAAACGGTGCCTAACTGGTGGCAGTTTCTGAAAGGGAAAAAATAGAGAAGCAAAGCACAATGAACTTTGGCATGGTAACATTATACCGTAGTCTGTATGGAAGGTACAAGCATTGTATACTTTTACATCTTTTGTTATGAATGGGCCATTTGTATCTACGCTGCCACCTTAACACTATTGATAAACAAAACAACTTTTTTCTGTTAGTAGTAAACCTTGCAAATAAATATTAGTTACATCATTTCTTACCGATATAATAAATAAGATTGGTATTGTTATACCAGTAGAGACCACCGAAAAACCACTCCACTGTGCACTAGAGTAACACGAACCAACAGAAAAGAGAGAGGAGAGTCACCCGCACAAGAACAGCTCAGAGCTAACTTACCTAGCTGGTTAAAATGGATAGTAAATATTAGGAAAGGAATAGTCTCTGCCAACCAGAGATGTGCAACAAAGCAACATGGACTCTCTGGTAAGGCTGGGCATGGGAGGTTTCAGGGACCCAACTGCGTCAACGTGGGATCATGTCTCGGAGGCCGGAGCGTTTGGTGGTGGCATTGTGTCGTCACGTTGGCAACGGGTGCCCTGACTGCGTGCTTGTCTTGAAACCTTCACTCACCATGATTGCTCATGGAGGTTCAATCTGGTAGGTCGTCCTGAGCACTGCAAAGCAGTCATGGTTCGTCTGTCGGACGCTAATTCTAGCGCCTATCACGGCAACGCGAGCAAACAGAACACATGGCGTAATTCTGCGGCATGTAGTATGTGGACAGCGGACACATTCTTGGAAGAGTTAAGCTAGCTATAGTTTAGTTGGAATAAGTATTTGATTAAGGAGTCCGTGGCACATTTGTTTATGCTGGCAAGATTGTATATAGATACATATGGGGCCGAGGTTTGTGTCATGTAGTTTAAGTAAGTTGAGTGTCCTACTTGTTATACGCAGTTTTAGTTTGCTTAGAAAAAGAAAAGTTTGTCATTTATATCTTGACTAGAAAAAATGCCTGTGTGTTGCGACGGGTGAATGCTATTTTAATCATATTATTGTTAAGATTTTTCTAAAAAGTACATCCTCCATTTCAAAATTATGACGCCATTGGCTTTTCGCACAACGTTTAACCATTCATCTTATTAAAAAATTAGTATAAATATCATTTATTTTGTTGTGACTTGTTATCGTCAAATAAAATATAATATTAACATATACTTTTACATATTTATATTAATATTTTAAATAAGACGAATGGTCAAACGTTGTTGGAAAAGACAACGGCGTTATACATTTTGATAGTATTGATATCTAGTTTGAAACTTTTATTGGGATGATGGTCATATCTTGTACGTTGCTTTCTTATGATTTGGCAAGAGTTTTGAAGCAATTAGGAGTCTGACTCTTCTCCTAAGTTAACATGCGAGTTTTTAAAGGGATTTCTTATATCAATCCTTATGTATTTCTGAAAACAAACGAACCTGAAAACCGACTTAAATATAGATGACATACCAAAATATCAGCAGAAACATCTTCAATTTTTATGTTTGACATAGATAAATTAAAATGGGAAGAGTGCTACTAATGGTGCATATTTTTTTCTTCTTTTTTTTGATTAATGTGGTATAATAATTCCTAGTCTCTAGAGTGAACATGTTGGTTTTTAGCAATATTTGGAACAAAATTTGAAATCCAAAAGTTTGTTATATTTTAGCACAAAGAAGTTTTTTTAATTGCGATCTAAAATAAATAACACGCTCAAATATTTTTTTTATTTAAATAGAGAGAACTTTTTGGCAGCAACTGAAAAATTACTCCTCGCAATATGTAAGTATGCATGTATATGTGTTGACACCAAGACTGACTCGGCTTTCGTCAAAGTGTTCTGTAATTGCAATCTAGAGTGAATTATGCGTGCATATGTGTTGACACTGAGACTGACTCGGTTTCCATCAGCAGTACATCTTTCTTTTTCTCTCCCAGACGGGAACACAATCAGACTTGTATGCATGCACGTTCTCGTGACAAACGTGAAGAAACCTTGCAGCTAGCTTCATCTGTTCGAGTTAAATATAAATACAAATAGAGTGTTTCGTAATACCATCAATAAATCTATATCTTTATAAAACCAACTCAAACACGGATGACGTATCAAAATCTCGGTAAAAACATCTTCAATTTTTATAATAGTAGAGATAGAGTTAATCTTGTTGTAGTTCAATTAGGATAAGTATTTAGTAATCTTCCATAACAGGCTTTGTATACTAGTCGTCAACCCGTGCGTTGCACGGGTTACTATCATATATCTATTATAAATGTGATAATTTTGGTCATATATTAAATTCATAGGACATTATTTGAATTATAGTATTTTAAAATTACAATGATTGAAAGAAGAGCATATCAAATACTACATGATATTTGTGAATTGCTTTTTTAAAATTAAGTTACTAAAGTACTAAATTTCTTCGTATTATTAATTCAGAGTGTTAGAAACATTTTATTTTGGATGGAAAAGCTAACACTAAAAATTAAATAGTATTTCTAACACGAAGTATATTATCTACAATACTATGATATAGACGGTCATGACTCACAACAAAGGCTATGCACCCTGTTGTTTTCCGACCCCTAATTAATCTATTACATTAGAATCGGCATCTCCAGTAAATCTATTACTATACTATGATTTTAAATTCGTTTGTACTACTTGTTTTAAAGCATGAGAACAATTTTTAATCTTGCGTTCATATAATGAACTAATTAAGACCGTGGGTCATTTGTCCTACTTCAGATTGTTGGAACTCTATTTATTACATAGTAAAACCAATACACCAATTGCATCTACTTAAAAAAAAGTCGTATTGTCTTGCAAAAGAAAATTAATTTAATTACTTGCTGTAGTGTTTAAAATGGCTGGTGCTTAGCTAGCTGAACCCCAACGCCGGCACCGTCACCGCCGATGCCGACGCTCCATTAACTGTGGAGCTAGCTAGGTTAATCGTACTAGTAAGAGCAAGTATAATAGTGAGTTATAAGCTTACTATAAGCTTACGTGGAGGAGAGAGATAACAAAAAAATCAAGAATGCTGGCTCTCATGCAAAAGCTAGCTTAACATAAACTCCTAAGTAAATACATTAAATGTATAGGTGAGAGATAGAGAGATGAGGAGAAAATTATAGCCAACCTTATAGCTAATCCACTATATATGTTGGCTTTAAAATAGGCTAATATTAGGAAGTGAGCTCTACTATTGTCCTGGCTCTAACAAACAGCCGCAGCCACAATGGTTGGTGTTTTTGGGGCACAGAAATCATGGGCATGAGTGACTTAATTTCCTAGATTGATGGGCATGGTAAACGTCGGGAATTCAGTTGCCTCCGATGGGATTCTATGCAGCTTTGGCATTGCCCTGCCTGGAGCACGGTGCATCCACAGATACGGTGTAGCGTGTGCGTTGTCCACTACTTCCTTGTTGGTGCCACACGGCATACCTGCTCTGGTACAACACGCAGAGCACTGCTTGCTGCGTGCTGACGGTTCGTCTAGTTCTTCCACGTCGTCGATTCTGGATGAGTACGTACGGGTCTCTCAAGAGATGCTGGATGGTCTGGCCATGCGTTGGGACAATTGGACTGATCTGATCGATGGTTGTTCTATCTTTGGTTGTATCCTGACTGTATTGTTGCAATGTTTCTCTGTTAAGGCTTACACACAATGGAGTAAAAAAAAAGCGAGAAACTAAAAGGAGAAAAACAAATAAAACGAATTAAGGGAAATTAATTTGAGCGACAACTTTTACGATGATCTGGTAGCTAAATGACCCTTTTCTCAAGTACAATTTTATTTTAAGAATTTTACCATACCTGAGAAGGTACCACCAGGTACTAGGAGGTAAAAACTCCATCTGTCCGTCCATTCACAAAGGGTATGATCGGAATAGCTTGTGATAATCATCTAGTCCTACACCTGGCATCGTCTCTTCTACATCTTCTTCTCCTTCCACATCTTGTAGTCCCAAACAATTCCGTCCCACTCTATAGCTCCGCGACACACTGTTGAGACCTGAAGCACACCGCCAATGGTTATAGAGGAGGCTACAATCCAGGATCCAGTTTTGGGGCCTCATCAGGATGGGAATAGTGGGAGGGCAGGCGACGCTCGTGAGGTGAGTTCATGTGCCACCGACACCTCTGAGGGGGTGGTTTGCTGGTGAAGAGGAGAGGCAGCAAACATGGACAGACGGAGCTCGCCAATGATTCAGCTAGTGGAATGGAAAAGGATGAACAAAAGAAAGAGCAAGTAAAAAATGGAAAGAAGGGCTCGCCTGAATTCGGGAAGGAGAATGGTGGATTCCTTCCATTGTGATGATGAGGATTGGGCATTTTTGCTGTTTGAGCACCATGTCCTGTACTCCTGTACGTCTTCAATGGTGATAGACTATCTAACAGTTCGGATCAAGCTAATAACCAGAAAAACATATTCCTGGTCATTAATCCAATGTTATCTCAACTAGAATTTTCAAATACTCGGCTCTATCATTGTGGATCAACTTCTTTAGGTACATGAAAGCACTAAATTTCCAGACAATATAGCTCATGCACCTCTGGTTCGCATGGTTCTTGGTGCCACCAAGACTAGGAGTTGACCCCAAGCAGAGAGGGCACTGAATTCGCAGTTGCTGCTGGCCTCGGCTTCATAACTGATGGATGCTGGGTGGCGTCCCCCTCCTCTTTATTGCACAACCAGGACAGCTGACATGGCAACGCATGACTTTGGAGGTGTCCAGAGCATAAAAGGGGGTGGTAGGTCCCAGCTCGGTCTGAACCGCGGCTGCAGCGGTGTATTATCGATGAGGGGAGAAGTGCTAAAGCAGAGGTTGCCGTTTTGCGAGAGTGTCAGTGACAGCGGAAGGAGAGACAGCCTGAGAGGACGAGAGAGAGCTAGCGGAGAGGAGGTAGTGTTGGTGGGAGGATAAGAAAACAAACTAGAGCAGCGTGGGGGTGGGGGTGGGGATTGGCGACGGGAGCGGACTGGGGAGGAGGAACAACGCCATGGGAGGAACGACACCGGCGTCCACCATCAAATCACCTCCCTCAAGCTCGAGGTAAACGTTGTATCGGCCAAGTCAAGCTTGTTGTTGTGTGCCCGTGTTAATTACCTCTACGGTTCTCGCTCGATTTGAGGATAGATGGCGCTCCACTCCCACCTGCATGCGAAAGTACAAATTTGCTCTCCTACCATCAACAACATTTGGTACCTGCTAGATGCCATAGCGCCAGGTACCGAGCCTTTCCAAGCCGTTACATAGAATGGAATGGACGACCAAGATTTGGTACCTCCTCCCCTCAAGGACTGTAAAAGGCCTCTTATTATTATTTTGATGGTTCCAATAATTGCAGATATCCTCACTCGTACGAAAAAAGGGTCCAATTTAAAGAGTGTAGTTTTGGCTGATATTTCATACCACGTAGGAGTATATGTAAATGGTACCCAAATTTAAATGGAGGTGGCAGTGGTAAAGAACAGCATTAGAAACAAAAGCTTTGCAATGATCAAGACGTGTCCAGAGCTCTAGCTTAGGCAAACAGGCATGGGAGGCACTGAGGACACGATTGCGTCCACGCTGGCCTTCCTTGCAAACGCAAAGTCATCCAGAAGCAGCGCAAGATATCTCTATGGACAAACCTGCAGTGTTCTGCTTGCCGCCCTCTGCATCCGGGAGCAGCAGCAGCTTCATGTTCCCCGGTGGATTCACCCTCGCCCCTGATTATTGATTGATCCGCGTAGAGGTCAATCGGCATGCAGGGCCGAGCCAAGTACGTATATACGTAGTGAGTTTAACACTAGGATAGCTAATTCGTCCCCAACCAGCCGTGAAGGAAGCCTGCCAGGAATTCATGAGATGGATATTATCGATAGAACTAAGTATTGTTTGGTTTTGTTTGTATTTTCCAAAAAGGTGAAAGCAGGTATTATCAGAACTATAAAAGCCCATGAAGCTCCTCGTTTCTTGTATTGTCACGTTGAGCCGGGGGGGAATTTATTTTAATATTTTAATATTTAATTTGTAACATCGTTTATTTTCATGCTCATTTGGTCTTCTCTTTCCCTTTTAACGAAAGTTTGGTGTTTCTTCTTGCAACATAGCCAAGCATTGAGTTATATGGTCTGTGAACCGCGACATAATTTTTAATTTCACCATTTAATTTTATATTTAATTTAGGGACCTTTTTGTTTTTCTTCTATTTCTTAGACTTGGCTTTTGGACCGCTATAAGTAAAAGCATATGTTTTATGTTTAAATTATATGTTGTTGCTCTTTTTTTTAATAATGTAAGTTATTCTAGCCTTCGCAATGTTTTGTTGCTTACTTCATTCATGTTTTCCTTCAAGTTAGCCGTAACCATTAATAAATAGTTGTTGTTGTATTATGGCACACAAGACACCATACATTATGTAGCGCTCTAGCTTGTCATAAAAGGTAGTAGAAAAAGATAGGCTAGCAAAATATATATAGAAGGGCTGAATTATGTAGCTATGTTACTATGTAATGAATTGCAACAGGTAACTACGTATAACTAGTAACAGTAACAAAGGGTAATACAAAGCTATCTGCTTGTTGCTCAAATAATTAGACAAAGCAGAAGCATTGTTCTCTAATCATATCTCCCCAAACTCACCCGTGGATGTAACACATCTAGGAACTGGAAGCATCGGGGAGGGCGATCGATCACTTCTTCATGGATAGGGCGAGGTCATTGGCTGAGAGGGAGGCCTCGACGAACTTGCCGATGGTGAACTTGTCGGCCGCTGCAGAGCGCACTGTAGCGCGCCGTCCTGACCAAAGGCCTCTGCATCCACAAGCTGAGGATGAAGGTGATTTGGGATGGCACCGAGAGGTGCGAGATGAAGATGGTAATTACCAGAGGATGACGTGTGGGACCAAGGATATTTTATAAATAATTGTTTTCTTCATTTGTAGATCGGACTGATCTGGTGAAATAGCTGCCGCACATATTTTGTAAATACCGGTTACTTTACACCTGAACTTCTTCCACGGTATGGAAAACTCCTGGTGTAAAAAGTTTAGGGTGTAAAGTAACCGATATTAGAGTTTAGTGGTGAAAATCGAATTACCGACATCAAACGTGGTCTTTGAAAGTTGAAATGTGGTTACTAAAAGTCATTAGCACTACTTTCTAAGAGGACTCGCGCGCTAATTTAAATGGTAGCCAAATTTAAAGAGGTGGAGCGCACCAATTTTAATTGTCTAGATTATTCAGAATTTTGGGATAGAAGAAGACATGCAAGGAGTAGTAAATTAGCTGAAAAGAACTTAATCCCACTATTACCACACTCACATGTACACACGGCTACTTATATGGACCGGTGTGCACGGCTCACGTTTTTGACCCAAGAAATCGACGTGACAACGATCGAGCTCTCCGATCCGATCCCCTCTAGCTAGGATTGTAGGCATGGAGGCATTGGAAATTACTCGGTGGCCTCTGATCCTTCCCTCGCAGCTTGGCGATCTCCTCCTCGACCAAACCCGGCGCTTGCGTCTAACGCGGCATGTGCGAGTTGCCACAACCACACCATTGCGTGCGTGCGGCTTCTTCCCTGCACGCCACGCGCGATCGACGACGTACGTGTTGCAGCACTTTGTTCTGGCCCTGGTGGCGGTACCGGTGATCTTGGTGTTTGCTGAGCCCAGTTCTGATGGTGGATGAGTAGGTCAGTCCCTCTGTTGCATCTATTCCTTGCAACAGAGTGCAGCTGCTGTGAATATTTTTTTTTTCTTGACCATACGGATGAGCTAGCTCATGCTTAGCCTTACGCTTGAATAAACTGGAACGTAATAAATAGAACTCGGCTCATTACCATCAAGAGACCTTTTGCAACTAAGGATACATATTTTCAGCTTTTTTTTAAAAAAAATGATTAAAAGCCTGACCTCTACATCCAACTTGGATGTACCCAACACATACAGTGATGTCATTGATAAATAAAATAAATTTTGACAAGTTGGAAAACTCATATATTAGTAACTTTCACTACTTGACTAAATTTGGTGCTACTCCCCCGTCCCATGATATAAAGGATTTTAGGCGGATGTGACATATCCTATTACAACGAATCTGGACAGGTCTGTTGGAGCCTTAAGTTTTTGTTGGAGCCTAAGCAAGATGGGTTGAGTTGTGATCCAAATTCATTTACATATGTATAAAGGTCAACTTCGGACGGAGCGAAGTGGAGGCCCGTCGCCGGTGGCTTGGGCCGTCACATAGCTGAAGAGGTCTGAATATGATAGCTGTGTGTATATTAAATTTGTTAATGGATCACGCATATATATACTTACTGTTATATATTGATGATATGTTGATTGCTGCCAAGAGCAAAGAAGAAATCACTACATTGAAGAAACTGTTGAGTAGTGAGTTTGATATGAAGGATCTTGGTGCTACTAAGAAAATTTTAGGTATGGAAATTACTAGAGACCGAAATTCTGGTTTGTTATTTCTTAGCCGGCAAAGTTACATTAAGAAGGTTCTTCAACGTTTCAACATGCATGATGCAAACACTGTTTGTACTCCTATTGCACCTTATTTTAAATTATCAGCTTTACAATGTGCTAGTATTGATAAGGAGGTAGAATACATGTCAAGGATTCCATATTCTAGTGCTGTTGATTTTTTTATGTATGCCATGGTTTGCTCTTGTCCGGATTTATCTTATGCTATGAGTTTGGTTGGTAGATACATGACTAATCCTGGTAAAAAACAATGGAAGGCTATTTAGTGGAGTTTCAGGTATCTTCGAGACACAGCAAATGCTTGCTTGAAGTTTGGCAGGACTGATAAGGGACTTATTGGCTATATGGATTCAGATTTTGCTGCTGATTTGGACAAGCGAAGATCACTTATAGGTTATGCGTTTACTATTGGTAGTTGAGCCATGAGTTGGAAGGCAACATTGAAGCCTGTTGTTGCCCAGTCTACCACTGAAATAGAATACAAGGCTATTACTGAAGCATGTAAGGAATCAGTTTGGCTGAACGGATTGTTTCCTGAGCTTCATGGAGTTGATTCTTGCATTAACCTGTTTTGTGACGGTCAAAGTGCCATATACCTCACTAAAGATCAGATGTTCCATGAGAGGATAAGCACATTGATATCAAGTACCATTATGTTCGCGATGTAGTCGCACAAGGTAAGATAAATGTCTGCAAGATAAGTATTCATGATAATCTTGCTGATATGATGACAAAGTCAGTTCATATTGCTAAGTTTGAGCTTTTCTCAAGCTTAGTTGGTATAATGGTTTAACCCAATAGATTATTTGGCGTCGAAAGTGTTTTTCTTTGTTGTGTTGAGGGTGAAGGTTTGATTTATGCTACAAGAAGGAATTTGTCTCAAGGTGGAGTTTGTTGAGTTTTAATCCAAATTCATTTGCACACGTATAAAGGCTAACTTCGGACGGAGCGAAGCGGAGGCCCGTCGCCGGAGACTTGGGCTGGAGCAAAGCGGCCGTTTTAGGGTTTCACCTTTATATATACTTCTGGAATGTAAGCTGCCGTTCGGCGTTCTAACCTCATCCGATATATAGTGAAGATATTTGCTAGCTGGCGCCTATGGTTTTTCTCTCCTAATTTAAGAGGGGTTTTCACGTTAAATCTTGTGTCTTCTGTGATTGGTGTATCATTTTTTATCGTTTATTTGCCGATCGTTTTCTAAATATATTTGTTGGCATGCAGCAAGTAATCAAAGACAGTAGTTGTAGTACGTACATATTCTCTCTGTACTTGTGCTGTTAAGTCGCCGTAGTACCTTGATTGTTTATTTAGCCTTATACAGACTTGACGTCTCATGCATGTCTCATGACAGAGGGAGTATAAATGATGGCCTTTCCGATTGTATTTTCATCCCATAGTTCATCTATTTATAAAAGACAATGCTCCACTTCTAAAGCTGCGTGACACACATCGAGAGCTGGAGCGAACTAAAGAGCTGGCCGGGTCAGTGTGGATGTTAGCATGTATACACGTACACGCATCCGTAGCGACTCTATTGATTTGTTGAAACTAATTAAGATCCTAGCTTAGATATGGGAGGCATGGGGAATTATTTAGCCGCCATGGAACTAAAGCTTCGCCCTCGCTTGTTTCTGCGCTTCTTGTGCAACCGCCCATGAACATACGAGCAATATTTTCGCTATGAAGAGCACGGGGAGGATGCTGGCTGCGAGGCCCGTTCTGGCCTGGCCTTCTCTTTGTCCAGCCATGTCGGGATGGTCGTACGATTTCATATGTCCTAATGTATTGCTCGAAGTTCAGTTTGTACTATTGGAGAAGTGATTATCCCATTTAGTACCGGTTATAACAACCGCGACTAAACTTTCATCTGTCCTAATGGTATTCGAAGTGCAGCTAGCGGCCGGACGAGACGAGTTCGATCTCGATCTCTCGCTAGTAGTCTTCTAGGCATGGGATGGGAGGAGTCGGAAATTACTTGGCTGCGTCGGATCCAACACTTGGCAGCTCGGCATCGCTCTGCTTACTAACCGGGCGCCTGCGCGTGTGACGCCGAATGCGCGGTTGCCACGGCTACTCCATTCCAGAATTAAATTTTAAAATATACAGTATTTTCCTAGAATTTGCACATATATACATGCTTTTGAAAATTTTACAAAAATATATGTTTCCGCGGATTGGGAATGCGGTATCGGGCAGTGGCGCGACGCCAAGACGCGCGACCGCATCCGTCGGTCCCGTAGATTGGTTGTGCGGCACCGGTGCTGACATAATATAGTCGTTTCACTGCCTTTGTTCAATTCGAGCTGCTAGTGCCAAGAAGTCATGCATGCATGTCAGAATAGTGAATGCTAAAGCTAGCTACCTGTTAATACAATCAAAGTTTTATGAGTATATCCTTTGTTTGTTGCGGGATTTGGCGGTGGTGGCGCGGCTCCGCGCGACCATTCCGCGGGAGCGCGTCGGTCTATTCTTCTGCGCAACTGCTCCTGGTGCTGGGAATGGACGCCGTCGCGCGCTATTGTCACGCGGGATCGACGCGATCGCGCGTTTTGGCGTCGCGCCACCGCCCCTCCCATCGGTCAACTGTACGGTGCCGTATTTCCAATCTGCGGGAAAGGTATATTTTTAAAAAAATTACAAAAGCAGGTATATATGTGCAAAATCGAAGAAAATAATGTATATTTTAAAATTTAATTGATCCATGCCTGCAGCATCCCTCGGCACCGCGACGACGCGCTCCGGCTAATCGTTCTGCCCCAGTATGGTGTTATGCTAAGCCCAGCTCTCATTCTCACGATGATGATGAGCCGTCGGTCAGTCCTGTCCTATCTACCTAGCTATTCCTTGCAAATTGGAGTAGTACCCACCTGCTGTAAATTTTTCTTGACCATATATATGTTGTTTTATGGTCGAGGGTTAATACATTTCAATGTAATAAATGGAACTCCTCTTGTTAGCATAATGAGTTCGTTTTTTTTTGTTGTTTCCAGGAGACTGTTTAAAAACATAGGTGTGCCTGGTTACATGACAAAATGTGTCCATCACTAAATTATTGAAGCATCCATGACTTTGGCTATAATTAAATAGAGAGTTAGACGAAAGTTTTGTACATGCAATTGATGAATGAGAAAGCATACCACAAGCTTATATCTTTATGTCTCTTACATTCCTAGAAATTATGCAACTTGTTTTGACTAGGCATATAATACAGGGTCACACGATGTTCTACCGAATATCGACGAAGAAAACTAGTAAAAATTCATAGATTCCTTTTGCATCTTGCTGATCTAATCACGAAAACGAACTTCTCCCCTATTCCCCGTTCCGTTTTCGCTATTCCCAAAGAAATCCACTACCGTCTGACTTGGAGTCGTCGGTGAAAGCTGATTGGGAATTCGTGAAACAGCTTGCGGGCTGTGCATGTCACAACGCCCACGGACACCATATTGCGCCGGGACCGCACGACAGTGAGGTCACACCGTGCCACAACCCAGGCGTCGATGTGCAAGCCTCAGCGTCCATGCCCACTGAAGCCACGCCGCCACACCAAGACACATGTAATGTACTGTCGTGAAGGTGCTGGCCGGACATGAAGAGGGAAACAGAAATATAGACGAAGAAGAATGAAGAAGAAAAGGGAAAAAGTGGCGAACAACACCAGCTAGCGGAGCCACTTATGCCGACCATTCATGGCGCTGCCATACCCACAGCGCATGCCGACCAC